TGTATGGATTTTAAGAAAGAAGATCTATCTGATGAGGCCTAAGAAGCTCTCTTCCACTGAATCGTATATGACTGTTCAATCTGTGTGTTTATGCAGTGGGGACTTTTGCTTTTGTTTTATTTGTATTTCATAGATTTGAAATAACTTTTTGATGAACCACTTGAAGGTTGATGCATAAAATAGGATTACATTAAAAGGGAAGTGGGACCATTAGTAGCTGTCCTGGCCCATTTAAACAGGTTAAAAGAATCAGGGATGGAAGCAGAGAATAGGGCAACCAAGTGACTAGACTACACATCCCTGTGAGCCCATGTGTTTAAGTGTGTCCATGTGTATTAATCTTGATTATATGTGAATCCCATGAGAGCTGGTGTATAGAGTTTGAGTTCCAAAGTATATACCAGTAGCTTAACCTCACCTTCAGCTAGCTGAAGACTCCTGCACCAGGTCTTAGATGTTGCACGCCCTGAAAATTGCTATAGTTCTGCGCCATGGTGTGCTACTCAAACTGGTTTTTATCTACCACCTAGTCCTTACTAAATGAAACCTTAAGGATTCTTTTCCCCATTATATTCCATACCCCATAAAAGCACAAAACATGAAAACACGTGCTGGCACGTGGCAGTGATTCTCATTGTTATATAAGATGGAGAATGTTGGTTTCGGCCTAGTTTGCCTGGCTGTAGCTTCAGGAAGGAAGGTTCTACCTGTCCCTGTATATAAGAACCCCAGGGAGGCACTTCTGGGTGGGCTTGTCTGTTTGTTAGGATTATTGTTTTGCTTATACGATTTTCCAGCATATTTCCAGCACCAGTTCTCCCCTACCCAATGATTGAAAAAGACATTACCATACTGTTTTGTATTTCAAAAGTAATATTATAAGGTCCTGAATGCATTTGGAGCAGGTATCATATTTTTGCTAATAAGAAGTTCACTGGTAAGATCTAATTGCACCACCCACCACATTTAGGATTCTTTCACGTCAGAGGATTGATACCATGTTATCCCTCACGTGAGTCTGGAGAATCCCTGTCCTAAATGCTGATGGTTGGGAATAAGAATCACTTTGCCTGGGATATACCACTCTCTCATCACCGGTCAGACCTCTGGGGTTTCAGAATTAGTTTACTCTGTCACTATCAATATATATTGCAGATTACTTAAATCTGGGACTCAAAGACAGAACTACAACATGTATCACTTTCATCTGAAAACTGATTAAAAAAAATCAGCGACCCACAACAGTAAACAGATAATCTGCATAGTTGAGCAGTTACAATAGACAGTATTCAGGTGATCAGGATGCTTTCAGTGGGACGCAAGTACTTTATACATTTTTTTTTTACCTCTATAAGACATAAGAAGCAAATAACCCTTAAAAGAGGGAGAAAAAGCAAGATGAGTTGTTTGGAGAAGATAAGTGATGTGCCAGGATGCACATTAGTACTAACAGGTATAATCAGAAATGAAATTGAAGAATTCTTCATTCAAATACTGTTTTCCCTACAACTCCTTTTCCCACTAAATAGAAGGTGAAGTTGAAAGCAAATATAACACTACACAGAAAGGCAGGAGAAAGTAAGCTCCACTCAAGTCACTTACAAGGCCAGTGATCTTCTGTGTTCTAGATAGCAAATAAATGGTACAGAGAACAGAATTTCTGTTAAGCTACCACACAAGTAGCTCTTAAGAGTCTGATAGTATTAACACAGAGAATTCTGTTGTCTTAGGGAGGTGAGCAACAAGAAAATTATGAGTAGTTTAACATTAAGAATTGAACAAATGAGGATGGGCATGGTGGCTCATGCCTGTAATCTGAGCATAGTGGGAGGCCAAGGAGGGAGGACCACTTGAGGCTAGGAGTTGGAGACCAGCCTGAGCCAAGAGCAAGACTGCATCTCTACAAGAAAAAAAAGAAAGAAAGAAAGAAAACTTAGCCAGGCATGGTGTACACCTCTAGTCTCAGTTATTTGGGAGGCTAAGGGAAAAGGATCACTTAAGCCTAAGAGTACAAGGTTGCAGTGAGCTATGGTAAGGCCACTGCATTCCAGCTTTGGTGAAAGAGTGAAAACCTGCCCCCCCCCCCAAATAAAGAACAAATAATATTTGATCATGTTAGTTCAAATTTAACAATAAAGACTAGATTTTGAGTTGGTAACGTTTACCATTCTCAAACCAGAATTCTTTTTTTTTTTAAAGGACATATGGAATTGCCTCATTTATTTTTTAAATCAATGCTTACTGTTTGGTAGGTTTCTTCCCTTAGCATAAGAGTTGTCTGAATTATCTCGACAGTGAGTAGCTGCCATCTTGGGGATTTCATTCTGTGGTTTTTTTAGTTTCAGTTTGTCTTTGATGCTGCCGTTCAGGACACAACATGTCTGCTGTCCTCAGACATGGTACCGGTCACTGCAGGGTGGGTCAGGTACAGTACTTTTCAGCTCAACCTTGTCTCTGTGACCCCAGTTAAATTGTCTGGTATAACACAGTCTTCTCAGTCTTCCTGTTGATTGTTTTAATTTGTTCCAGTAAGTGATTGAAATTAGGACGTCTACCCAAGCAAGTCCTATAAAAGTTTAAAGCTGAAGTTCAAGACACTTAATAAAATTCTCCCTGTTGTGTGTTTAAGTTACACAAAGTCGTGTAGTAAAACATTCACTTTATAATTAAGGCATTTCATTGAGAAGGAAAGCTCCAAAGATTATTTATTGGGGGACAAAGGTTTAATTAAAAAACCTGTAATATTTTTTGAAGTGATAATTTGTACTGAAGTTGTACATAATACCTATTAAATGTTTTTGTCTTTTTTAAAAAATTGGGCTTATTTCTTTTCAGCTATGAAGAGAACTTCTTTGGCTAGCGTTCTGTTCTAGATCAAATACAATGAGTAGTTACTTCTCTGTTTGAGTTTTTACTTTGGGTTCATATTTGTAACCATCAAATTAAGTTGAAGAAGTGGCCAAGTGATCATTAGGTTAAGAATTTATGACTTGAGGGCGGTGCCCGTAGCTCAGTGGGCAGGGTGCCAGCCACATACACCAGGGCTGCTGAGTTCAAACTGGGCCTGCTAAAACAACAGTGACAACTGCAATAACAACAAAGAAAATAGCCAGGCATTGTTGCCAGCACTGATAGCCCTAGCTACTGGGGAGGCTGAGGCAAGAGAATCGCTTAAGCCCAAGAGTCTGAGGTTGCTGTGAGCTGTGATGCCACAGCACTCTACGCAGGGCACCAGCTTGAGCCTCTGTCTCAAAAAAAAAAAAAAATTATGACTTGAATGCTGCTAGCAGAGATCATGGCCATAACATAACTTTATGCTACAAGATCTGTAAGACTTGCAAGATGCTTAAATTCGTTTTTAATGAAATCATGTAGCAAACTTACAAAAGCTTGAAATGAGAGTATGATTTGAGTAATTACTGCTTAGAGGCAGGAGAAGGGAGTAAACACTCCAAATTCTGTCTTGGTTTGTTCTGAGCTAATTAAAGCACAAAAATTAGGCTATAACTGTTCTCTGATTATATTCTGGAATAACTAATAATATACTGATATGCTCATGGTAATAAATATGGCCAGTCCTTCCTGGCCAGTAAGGAGTACTGTATTGAATTCACTCAATCTGAGTATGCAGCACTGAGACTTGGATGAGGAGAAGGAAAGCAGCCAGTTGTGGAGCCTGCCTTTCCAACATGGGGAGGTAAGTTTAAATCTCACTCTTACAGGGACTGGAATTGTTAGCCTGTATCTCGGTGAGACCGTCAGAACACAAATGAGAGAGTGATTATGAACAGTGACCCATCTGTTAGGGAAGATCTGAGAGAAGAGTATTAAGAACTTTTAACCTTTTTATTTAATTTTTGTTTTTTTTAGAGCAGTTTTAGGTTCACAGCAAAATTGAGCAGAAAGTAAGCATTCCCATCTCCCCTGACCCTACACGTGTACAGCCTCCGCCACTATCGATGTCCCCGTAAGAGTAGAACATTTGTTAATAATCGACAAACCCACGCTGATACATCATTGCCCGTAGTTTACATTAGGGTTCCCTGTTGGTGGCGTACATTCTGTGGCTTTGGACAGATGGATAGTGAATGACACGTACATCTACTGGGTAGTATCATACATGAGAGTTTTTCTTTTTTTTTTTTTTTTTTTTTTTTTTTTTTGAGACAGAGCCTCAAGCTGTCCCCCTGGGTAGAGTGCCGTGGCATTACAGCTCACAGCAACCTCCAACTCCTGGGCTCAAGCGAGTCTCCTGCCTCCGCCTCCCAAGTAGCTGGGACCACAGGCGCCCGCCACAACGCCCGGCTATTTTTTGGTTGCAGGCGTCATTGTTGTTTGGCGGGTCCGGGCTGGGGATTCGAACCCGCCACCTTAGGTGTACGTGGCTGGCGCCTTAGCCGGTTGAGCTATAGGTGCCGAGCCCATGAGAGTTTTTCAATGCCTAAAACCCTCTGTGCTCCACCTGTTCACACCCCCGACCCTGTGCTCGGCAGCCACTTGTCTTTTTGCTGTCTCCATGGCTTTGCCCTTTCCAGAATGTCACAAAGTTGGCATTCTAGAGTATGTAGCCTTTTCAGATTGGCTTCTTTCACTTAGAAATAGGTATTTAAGTTTCTTCCATGTCTTTTCACGGTTGGTGGCTAAGTGCTAAATAGTGTTCCATTGTCTGGACATACCACAGTTTATCCGCTCACGTACTAAAGAATGTCTTGGTTGCCTACAAGTTTGGGCAATTATAACCAAAGCTGCTACAAAT